TGACATGGTCAAGTTCGGCAATTTTTCAAAATTTTTGCACCTATTCTCCGAAGAAGTACTAGTGGCAGGTAGATAGAGCAAACCTTATAGGACGCGAAGTTATATTTTTCTTTTCCATAGCCTGTTTCTTAGTGTTTCTGAAATCAGTTTTAAAATGCCATCAAATTCCATATTTGGTCAACTCAAACTTCACAGAACAACAACCAGCAAGTAACTCGGGTGTCATTCGACGCGCTTCTTCTCCTCTTTTTACAAGTTGTTTTTGGTTTCCGATTCATCAAGTTTTCCGAGATAAAATCATCATAATTCAGGTTTTCCAGGGCGCCTCCGGCTTTACTCGGAATTTTCGAAAGTTGCTAATCTGAAGCTTTAAACGCTCATTTACTTTGTAAAATTAGTGCCAAACTATAGTCCATCTTTGTAAGATTTAAAATCCGAAGATTTATTGGTGTTTGTTGCATTTGTGTCTGAGACGAGCCTGCTAAAATTCGGTGGTTCCATCAAAAAATCTATACAGAAATTATGACGAGCTCTGAAAAGTAGAAAAAAGTAGTGGTTCCCCGTAAAGTTTGCACTACCTACACATAACTTGGACTCCTTCCGGGGGTTGTTATAAAAATTTGGAAAAATTGTGAAACTTGACCTTTTCAAAAAGCACGGGTTGCACATTCCGATAATTTTTCCAGAGGTTATTAAACTTTGTGCGGTAGTTATATAACCATCAGAAAGAGAATGAAATGCGCACCGAATGTTTCCAAAATCTCTTACACATCTTTGTTCCACGATGGCGTACGTTTGAAAAAAGCGACATTACTTTCGGAACGATCTCGGCAGCGTTCGATGCAGAATTTCATTCTCTTTTAAACGGTTATGAAATTTTTGCAAAACAATCAATGAGATTTCAGAAAATAACCAAAATCTGCGATCCATGCTTTTTGAGATGGTAAAGTTTCACGATTTTTTGAAACTCTCATATCAATCCTCAGAAGGAGTTCAAGTAATGATTCGATAGAGTAAACCTTATAGAATACAATATTGCTTTTTTCTCCTTTCCGTAGCTTGTCATATATTTTTAACAGAAATTTAACTGATGCTACCGATTTCCATACTTGAGCAGCTAAATCCTCGTAGAACATTGAAGGAAGAGCAGCTCGGATGCTGTTTGATGCGACATTTTCTCCTCTTTCTCATGGGTGTTTTTTGTTTCGGATTCGTTTAGTTTTCGGAGATAAAATCATCACAATTCATTTTTTTAAGGAGCTCCAGGCTGTACCCAAAAACTCGAACTTTGAAATTTCGAATCCGTAAACTCTCATCTGCTTTATAAAATCAATATTAAGTCATATATCATCTTGAAAGCTTGAAATTGCGAGTAATTACTGATGTTTTATGCGATTGTGGCTGAGGTGGGACTGCCAAAATCCAGTGGCTTCGTTAAAAAAACGTTTAAAAAATTACGGCGAGGTATGAGAAAGAGAAAAAAGAAGTACTGTATTTAATGAAGTTTACTCTATCGAATCGTTATTTGAACTCCTTCTGAGAATTGATATGAAAGTTGTAAAAATTCGTGAAACTTGACCATCTCAAAAAGCATGGGTCGCAGATTTTGATTATTTTCTGAAAATTCATTGACTGTTTTGCAACAATTTCATAACGTTGGAAAGAGGATGAAATGCTGCATCGAACGTTACCAAAAACTCTCAAAAATGTTTTTCCCATCGAATGTGGCAATCGTTTGAAAAAGCGAACTTACTTTTGGAACGATCTAATATATATATTAGGCTGGAAACTAAGTTTTGCAACCGGTTTCATAACTTCACTCTCTTTGTATATGGCGCACTCAAACTTTGGAATTATGTAGAAGGCAATGTGAGCTACAAGCGAGCACAAATTATGTAAATTTTGAACACGAAATAGAAAAGTTTTAGACGTTTTTCGAAAAGTAGTGAAATTTGAGAATTTTTGAGGTTTTAAGCTAAAATGAAGCCTTTGACAGCCTAGACCATGCGCAGTAATCCGGATTCGTCTACAAATTATTGATGGAGGTTGACTCCTTTGGCCTATTAAGAAAGAAACAAAATTTAGGGGTATGTCGAGATTTGGCGTCCTCATAAAGTCGAAAGAGTCGATTTACGCAAGAGCTGCTGGGGACGACCGTCAATGACTAAAGAGTCCGAAGCTCAAATTCCGCGAGTAGTAACACATAGTAAGGTTATTTGACCTGCCAAACGCGAATATCACATTCATTTGTTGAATCAACGCCTTTTTCCTTGTTTAGGGTGAGACCCCATATCGTACACCTACAATAATTCTACAAAAAAGCCCTTATCACGCAATTTCACTATCGTTTTCGTGATCAGCATGTCGGATTACACCCCTATGCCAAGTTTCAGCCAAATCCGTCAAACTTTGAATTTTTCCCCTTCATACCATGCACCCTCACTGCGACATCAGAATTTGGTAGGACAGCTGCTGCGCTTGTAGCTTACATAATAACCAACGCAGTGGCAAAATTTGAGTGCGCCATGTTGAGTAAGAGGGAAGTTATGAGACCAGTTGCAAAACTTAGTTTCCAACCTAATATAGTGCTGGACATAATTATACAGCCACTCTAGAAATCGTCTAATTTTTGTTCTTATCAATAAATCTGTCTGAAACTTTGCTGTATTGTGCGCATGTCAACCTACCATAACTCCTCAAAACGGCTTCCAGTCTTGTTGAGTTTGAACGGAGAAAAACAAAAAATAATCGAAAAAGCCCTCTTTGAAAGAGGATAAAATTATACAGCCACCTGGTTTTTCTAATCACTATCGCATTCGTTGACTCTCAAATTTTTTTTGTACAATTATTTCCCAAAATATGAAACATTTGCGGCACTTACGGCCTGTCATCCTACTCAAATAGAAGCAATCGCTGCATTTCTTGCTTTTAAAAGCATTAAAAGTCAATCTCCTATAACAAACAACTGCTTTAAAAAGTTTTCAAGCTCTTGTTCATTCCAAATGATAATCATGGAATCTACTGACCCTTTTGGATAGATGAGGTTAAGAGCGCTTTCGTAAACTCTGCGTAATCGCTGATTTTGACGAACAGACTCCAACTTCAACATAGGCTTGGAACGCTTTTAAACCACAAAACTCAGTCTGCAATGTCCACAAAGTGCTGAACTTGATTTATCACATTGTCTACATGGGGATATAGCTTTCGCAACAACTTTCAGATTTTTCCTAATGATGCGATAGCGATTTAGACCTGCAATACTTTCCACAAAAATTCCCTGCGAGCGGAAGATTTGATATAACCCTAGATCTCCTTATTTCCGTCTGTGTTTCATGTCATATTTCACCCGATGAATGAGATTAGCTAAGATTTTGAAGTTTTAAGCGTCTCCGGTTTTATCTCGTGATCTGAGTTGGCTTTGATTGTACGGGTGCTCCACTCATTCAGTGAATGTCAACTGCGGCTGAATCAGAGTGCTCAGTCCCCAAAATTTCTTTTCAGTCATGCACACAAGTTCACTGTTGTATGGCTGTCGTAATGGCTACATTACAGTATTTTCTTTCGCTTGAAAATCGAGTTTCGTGGTGCAAAAGTGCGTCAACCCTATGGTGAGGTTGAAGTCTGTTCGTCAAAATCAGCATTACGCGGAGTTTACGAAAGCGCTCTTCACCTCATCTATACAGAAGGGTCAGTAGATTCCATGATTATCATTTGGAATGAACAAGAGCTTGAAAACTTTTTAAAGCAGTTGTTTGTTATAGGAGATTGACTATTAATGCTTTTAAAAGCAAGAAATGCAGCGATTGCTTCTATTTGAGTAGGATGACAGGCCGTAAGTGTCGCAAATGTTTCATATTTTGGGAAATAATTGTAAAAAAAATTTGAGAGTCAACGAATGCGATAGTGATTAGAAAAACCAGGTGGCTGTATAATTTTGTCCAGCTTTCAAAGAGGGCTTTTTCGATTTTTTTTTGTTTTTCTCCGTTCAAACTCAACAAGACTGGAAGCCGTTTTGAGGAGTTATGGTAGGTTGACATGCGCACAATACAGCAAAGTTTCAGACAGATTTATTGACAAGAACAAAAATTAGATTTCTAGAGTGGCTGTATAATTATTTCCAGCACTGTATATTAGGTCGGTGCAAAAGTTTTGTCAGTTTTTTCAATCCATAGGCACACACGTTAGAGTGAAGATAAACAAACACTTCAAAATGTATCCGATGCAAAATTTCTTTGTCTTTCCAGCCGCTGAACTAACACTGTGTTTCGTTGCGAGAGTGACAAGATATTTGCTAAAAATCACAACCACTCGTTTTTACCATGTCCAAATTTCGCTAATTTTCAAAATTTTTGCATGGGACTTCCGCAAGAGCCCTAATAACCATCAGATAGAGCAAACCTTTTGCCATCTTATGCAATTTCTTGTAGTCTTACTGGTTGTCTTTCAAAATTCTACGATTAGGTTTTTGAAGTGACCAAATTTTACATTCAGCCTATTTCAACTTCGTAGAACATAAAATTTTACACAACCCAGCCACCATTCGATGTAACTTTTTCTCCTTTTTCTAACACGTCTTTTTTTTGCTGAGAAGGCAAAATGTGTTTGAAAATTCGCAGCATTTCTCAACGTGAGTTGGCAACTTTTAGCATCTACGAATGGCTCAGAATTGAAATCTTTATGCTGTGTAGTCTTCCATAGCTCACTTCAGAAAAGGGTTGAAAACGGAATGGATATTTGAAGTCAGCGTTCAAATTATGCGAGCGATATGCACCTTGCATCAAAAGGCCGCGGAATGAGGTAAAGGAACATAAAGGAATATAGGAACATATAATTCTAATTCGCAACCTTTTAGAATATCGGAGTGTAGTCTTTCTAAAATGTGCATTTCTGTGCGAACGAAACAAACTGTAATTACAACTATCACGCGACAAGTTTTTCCTAATTTCCTTATTTCATTTTTTTTATTCCTTAGTGAACCATCGGTTGGATAGCCAACTTACCTGTAGGCTATTGAAGACAGCATGCATCCAATCAAACACCGTCCAGGGGAAGGTCCAGGGGAAGTATAACGACAAGAAGAAGAATAAGTGAGTGACACCTAGCAAGCACATTAGTGTAGCAAGTCTCTAAAATAAACTATGCGCAGATTCAGTTATCAAAAATAAACAGCACACCTTCAGCCACCGGAAGAGTTTGTCTTTCCTGCTGCGATCACGATCATTTAACGTCAAAAGCACTCTCAGCGCAATAACAAGAATGATCACATTTGCCTGCGACCGATCGAAAATGAGTATAATGATAGTAACGTACAGAACAGAGCTCAATACCAAAATAATAATAAAATCTGGTACAAAGAGAGCCAAATGTACTCGTAGTGACAGGTTAAACCAAGAGCAGCTAAACATAGAATGATCGCAATGTTCATGGGTCAATAAAATAAATGATGGTTTACTATTGTTTAGATTCATAGCCATCCCAACTGAATACTACACCTACAACGACGGCTGGAAAACCATACGAAAATACACAGTATGGTAAGAGACGCGTTTTGTTAGAATCAAACACCTGAAAATGAGATATACGACAAGTGAAGTCCTTGCCATAACTCACTTGTACCAACGACAAGTACAGCTGATAGCCTTCTGTCAGCATCCAGCAGAATGCTGCTATGTCAGAGTAAGGGTCCAGCATCATCACTATTGCACAACATACACGATTCCTAATGCGGGGTAGACCTTTAAAAAACAAAGAAATCGCTACAAACAGAATGACACGCTTTAGCAAAGCGAAAAGATACTAGCAGGTTGCGACGAAAGTTCTGTCAAAAAGTTCCTCACCATTTTCAAAAATTTGTAACTTCTGATTTTCACAACTTTTATACATGTTTGAAAGAGAAAGCGGGGAAGGAAGTGATTCAACGGCATATTTCATAGATTCAGCGCATTCATAGATAGATGGTACAAAAACTCACTTTTGCTTTTTAGACCGGTCGTTTGATTACTTGCCCTTCTAATAGACAAGGTTTGTGCTACTCGATTTTTTGGCATTTGTTTCCAGAAATCATAACTTTTTATAGAGAAGTTCAATCATCACACTTGCTTAGATAGAAAGGACAGGTAATGGGAGCTAAGACACAGACTTCAACTATATTGCAAGTTATAGACTACCAGTGCTTCACCTCTGCTTCGCAGAGGTTAGCATTGGTTCTACTAACTACATGCTTTCCGTGCTCGCGTAGTTATGATTTTGGAATTCTCCGCGCAGTGCTAACCATCACGAATGACTTGTAGACGACCACTTCTTCCAAAAGTTACCCTACGTGAAGTAGGTGAGTTTGATAGAAAAAATCGTTTGTGTAAGTGAACAAATTCGAATTAAAATCACTTACCAAACTTATTTCGGCGCAAAATTCGCCGTGAGGACGGTAGCCACCGTAAGCTAGACTTCTAAGTAAAGATCCTCTTATTTTCTACAGTAAAATCATGATAAATCGACAATCTATGAGATCATTGCTTTCGGTGCCGTTTCGAAAAACAACATGATTTTTGGTGACTTTTTTGGCCTGAAGTCAGCGTCCCACCAGACTAGGGGGTACCTGGCTCTGGTAGTATTGTAATAGTAGACCCCCTGACTAAGCGACGACAGAAGTTTGCAGCGCGAAAGGGGTCTACGAAGTCTACAAATCGCCCTCGAGCCCGGATCTAACGCCAGGCTTGGGCGAGTATGAGATGCATGTGCGATCTTCACTGTGTCCGCTATACGCGCTCTGGCCTTGCAGTTCGTGCAGTTTGGAGAGGCGGCTTTTGGGCCTACCGTAAGATTCGGGCCACTTTTGAAGCAAATTCCAGGCTTGGTAGACCCTCTTTTTTGCTACGAACTTCAGTCATCGCTTAGATAGACGGTTTCCTTTACATTACTACGAGGGCCTGATACCACCCAGTTTGCTGGGACGCTGCCTTTAAGCTGAATGGCTTGGAGATATACATGCCAGATATACCCGCGATTTTGTGAAAAGTCCACATACGGCTCTAGTTTTGCAGGCCGATAGCCGCGTGGACTCGTTTGATGCGCAGTTTTCATGTGTTCCACGCAGCAAATCCGCTCGTACTCTTGGATTATGGACCTACATGCTGGCGACATGCGTCATGCAAAATTGTGGCCCCGGACTTTTGCTGCAACTCATTCTATGAATTTCGTGACAGACAGATATACACACACACGGAGAGACAGACGGCCTTAGCGCTTTATTACAAGGTCACGGCACTCCTATCCGTACCCTTTCTCATGTTCGCATAATGATGATTTTGAAACTTATCACGCAATGCTGAAAATCACAAATGAATTGTAAACAACTGCTAATCGTAGAGTATCTCTACTTGAAAACGGTAATTTTGAGAAAGAGATCTTTTTCGCAAAGGAACACTTGCAGATTTGACTGGATTACCGAATTTATTTTGGCTTGGGAGTCGTCATCAAGATAATAGTCACTTGAGCTACATTTCCCTGCAAAAATCTTTTTAAATTTCAATAAACAACATTGCCAAATTTACTATTTAAGCGATCATTACTTTTTGGCGCTGTTTTCGCAGAAGCAAACCTTTTGAGCACTTTTTGGGCTAAAATTCATGAGGTGTAGATTTACTTGTCAGGCAAACCATGGCTTTGCAAGAAATCCAAGTCTGCACTCACAAGGAAGGCTTCCCAAGTCAGCTCGGCCAACCCGGATGAGTCATACATCACCGTAACGGGCTCGAGACGCTGATTCCAAATCTGCCGTTTCCGGCTGCGTAGCGGTCCTGCACGAGAAGTTATGGGTGGTGTTTCCCTCCAGAGTTGAGGCACCCGTCAACTTGCCTCCCCTTGTTTATGAGCGCTATATAGGAGGCGCGCGGTCGTCTGGTGTAGTGGTAAGTGTCTTGCTCGATAGGCAGAGGGTCACGGGGGATCCCGTTAATTGTAACTTTATTGCAATTTTTTGCAAAATATAAATTTGGGCTTGTAAGTGGTTTTTGGAGCACTGGATCCTAGAACTTCTTTGAATGTGAATGCGAAAACTAAAAGTTTCAAGAAATCAACGTATCAGTAAGCAGAGAATACTTCCAATCAGCCACATGGCTTAACACGTCTACATGACAAACAAGAAAACAAGCAAACAAACATAAAAATCGATAAGCACCTTGGGATCATTTGATAAGTGCACTTACTGCGCGATGATGACGTTTTGTCCCGATCTGGGTTGCGCACCTCTCCAAGGAGTTCGGATGCCGTAAGATAACTCGGAAGCCCACCAGAAAAGAAATTCATTCTTCTACACTGTCAAAAACTAATGTTGTACGTTAACGAACATTAGTGGAGGTGTAGTTTTTAAAACTTTTAGTTTTCGCATTCACATTGAAAGAAGTTCTAGGATCCAGTGCTCCAAAACCATTTACAAGCCCAAATTTACATTTTGCAAAGAATTGCAATAAAGTTACAATTAACGGGATTCGAACCCGTGACCCTCTGCCTATCGAGCAAGACCTCATAAACAAGGGGAGGCAAGTTGACGGGTGCCTCAACTCTGGAGGAAAACACCACCCATAACTTCTCGTGTAGGACCGCTCCGCAGCTGGAAACGGCAGATTTGGAATCAGCGTCTCGAGCCCGTTACGGTGATATATGACTCATCCGGGTTGGCCGAGCTGACTTGAGAAGCCTTCCTTGTCAGTTTTTTGGCTTATGAGCCTGTGGATCCGTCTGACGCTCAATTTTTGTAACATCAATGCAACGGATCTGTACGAAATTTTGCATGATGGACCTACGCTGGCATGGTGCTGTGACCAAAATTTCAGCTCAAAACATCTGCTGGAACTCGCTCTATGAATTTCGTGACAGACAGACGTACAGACGGACACACAGACAAACAGACGTGAACAACGCTTAGCCCGTTATTATTAAGTCATATATAACGGCCAAACTCAGGAAAATCAAAATTTGAGTAGTCTTCTACCGCTTCCATCTATGATATGCTTAGCAGAAGATTTGATTTAGGTTGCTGCTTCATTTCTACTCTGTAGATGTCGAAGGTCAATCTCGAATCATACCAGGTTTCGGCGTAAATTTCTCCTAGTCCTTCTGTTAAGAGTCGAACGATTTGCGCGCGTTTACTTCACACCACCTACACATGCCAAAGTTGGGTATCCTCCGTATAAAGAGAGAATATTTGAAAAGTTGCAAACTTTGTTGTCAACCCAAAACATTGAAATTGCACGACATTAGCGTTCTTCTGCAAAACCGTAGCACGCGCACGGAGCTGCTAGATAAAGTTGTCGTATCCCTTACTGATTGAAAAAACAAGGTCATGAACAAGCAGACTGAAGCACAGGTTCCAATGAATAGTATTTCTAACACTGTGTAGAGATCTGAAATGTATTCTGTGATATTCTGCGATGATTGAGTCTGCTGAACATACCTGAAGAATGTGAACACAAACAGCGAAAATGCTAAGCACACAGCAGATAGTGCACGACCGATGTTTTCGAAATCAAAAGGCAGTTTGATGTCCTTTCCTATGTTATACCAAATGGCGTCCCCCACCGCTATCTTCATCAGAACGGCGAAACAACTGCAAACAGTTTGACCGCCACGTTCAAGCGTAGTTTTTCTTGACAAAACGTTGCGTGCATGGCTCCATTCAATTTATAGAGGGTTGTTTTTCAGAAATTCACCTCGAATTCACCCTTACAATCCATTATGTCTACTTTTTCTTTTTACTACTGTCTAAAAGTTACAAAAATAGTTCCAATATAGGGTGCATTTCTTTATGTTTACAAATTGAAAAGATTTTGAAATGGCAAGAGAACAGGAAACCTAGTTCCGTAGCTTCCATTCAGAACGCAGTATTCCTGAGGAGACTCCGTTAAAGTGGAAGTCTATGACTCTCAAGGCTGCTGATTAGTTCACTTTCGCTGAGAAGGGAGATCCGATAGTCGAAGTGACCTTTTCCAATGGGTTTTATACCATTTTGAAGAGCATCAAACGGTTATTCCAAATCTGACTTCATTATCTGCCGAGCGCCTCGCACCAAGAAAATATTCATAACTCGGTACATCTATCCGAGAATATCGATGAATATTTTCTTGGTGCGAAAAATGAACGCTTAATTTAGGTAACACCAAATTCTACGGCCTTTTCAGAGTATTAGTGTTCTGGGGCAGAAAATGTCGTCTAAATGTAGTGCTGTGATAATCAACTGGACCATTTGAGTAATAATGACAATTTTTGTGCTAATTATAAACGCTCATAACTCGACGTCAAGGCGCTCGGTAGATAAGGGTGACAGATTTGAAATCAGCATTCGATGCTCTTTACAGTCGTTTCAATTTTATATGAAAAAGCAACTTCAACTAAATGAGTCTCCCTTGTGAGAAGAATGGCAATCAACGAAATGGTCAAAGTCGAAGTGTCAATCCGAACAAGTTGCGTACTATTGAATGCAGTAATGAACGCTGGCTTCAAATCTGCCTTTCGAATTTGCTATGCTAAACGCCCATAGAGTGATGGAAAGTATATAAGCAGTATTGTAAGGAATCGTATCTACAAACTGTGAAAAAAAGACTCAATATTGCCTTTTTAGCTCACCTTTTAGGTATGGACTACATAAATTGACCTACTTGTTTTGGCCCAGCATTATGCCAAAGACGGATTGTATGTCCAATATTGCACTATGCACCACTTCGCAAAATGGCTATTTCGTCTGAAAAGGCGCTAGCGGGTAAAAGACAGGTTCGGATTAGGTTCTCTACTGCATCCATCGGTGCGTACCTTGTTTGGATTGGCCCCGGTTTGGAGTAGGTTCTATACTGCATCCATCGGTGCGCACCTTGTTTGGATTGGCCTCTTATTTCCGCTTATTTATTTGTAAGCAGATCAAAAAAAAAGTTTTAGTCGCTGGCGTCCGATCTAATCGACAACAGAGAATGTTCCTTTAACGTTGTTTGTTTCATCTATATAGAGTGTAACAAGAATATGCGCACGCGCATTGATTGTTACTACCCCTCTTCTCACATTTTTCTGAAAACGTCTAAGTCTCCGTAAGCTGGATTCAACAGTGATTTACTGTATGGAGCAAGTTTTACATCTCCTTCAGTGAGGCAGCATTACGGTAACTTCACCCAGCTCAAGCGTACCTAACCCAATTTAGATATTTAACTTTTTGCAAATTTTGGAAGCCTTTTGAAGCGCGTAATCATTGAGCAATAAGAAGAAAATATTGCTATGCTTAGCATAATTTATGCGCGAAGCACTATGATGAAGTCTTACATTTAGAACCAGCGTATGATTAGCTTTCTGTGATAAGTTTTAGTTTATATGCTTTGCTTTTCTCAAACAAAATAGGACGCTCAATGGCTCAAAACCTTTTTGATGCGCCAACCGCATTTTTACGGTAATTAAAAATCAATTCTATTTGCCTCATACCGTAAATCTAAGTTGAAGCCACCTCTACAGAATGGTACCTAAAAGCGTTCTTGGAAAGAAGATATCGACGATCATTCGTATAAAAATATTAAGAAGTGTTTTGTATTTTTCAAACAAAAATTCAATTAGTGATTCCATGCGAGCCAAACTTTGCATACGTACACTTTGCTGAGACAGGCGTCATAGGCTATTTTTTGTTGACCACCTATGAATTTACTAATATTCAGCATAATCTGAGCTACATATGGCTGCTCGTATAAGGGGATGCAGGCAGCACGCTGATTACGAAATGGTAGAAGCGAGAACTTTTGCAAACTTTGAGCACAGGCGAGCTGGTACAGGAGGTTTAAGGGCAGCGTACACCCAAAATTTTGTCTCCTATTATTTGTCATTTTGGGGCTTTTCTGACCCTGATATAGCTATGACATAAGACTTCCAAAAAACCACTGATTTTCGAGGACCCTCTTTTTGAAGGGCGGACGAGTTTCGAATTGCTTGACCCTGTCGACATGCCGGCGAGGAGCAGGCTGCAACTGCATGACAGCTTGGTTGCAACTGCAATTACAGCGTACGCTTACAGCTACGCTGTCGTGGATTCGTCCGAAGGAGCGACCCAGCAAAAAAGGAGAGAAGCGCAAAAAGAATCGGGCGCGTTTTCTCCCTTTAGAAGTAACGGTGGGAGATCGGACCACGCAGTTGGTCTTCTTCCGGGCCCTGCATGTACACCGTATAGAGAACTGGGTAGCATCTCTAAGTGAAGGATGATTCACAGAAAAGCACATTGATTTTAGAGTAATTTTTCCAGCATTCATTGACTTCATCACTGATTTTTGTACTGCTTGACGCCGCCTTGCGGCATCAATCTTGCGCTAACCGTAACCCCTACGTCTCCTTTCAACCTTATTGGCTACGACTTCCTCGTGCCAAAGATAGCTGCTTAGTTGACAATCGCTTGTTGCGAAGATTATAGGAAAAATCTGCGCGATTAATTCACTGCCCTTTCTTTGCCCAGGCAATATATTAGGTCGGTCCGATTTTGTCGGTTTTTTCAATCCATTGGCAAACACGCTAGAATGAAAATAAACAAACGCTTCAGAATGTATCCAATGCAGAATTTCTTCCTCTTTCCAGCTGCTGAACTATCACTGTGTTTCGTTGCGAGAGTGACGAGATATTTGCTGGAAATTACAACCACTCGTTTTTACCATGTCCGAATTTCGCTAATGTTCAAAATTTTTGTATGGGACTTCCGCCTTTGCCATGTTATGCAATTATTTGTAGTCTTACGGGTTGTCTTTCAAAATTTCTACGATTTATTTTTTGAGGTGACCATATTTTGCATTTAGCCTCTTTTAACCTAGTAGAACATAAAATTTTAATCAATTCATTCACCATTCGATGCAAATTTTTCTCCTTTTTCTAATGCTTATCTTTTTTTGCCGAGACAAGCAAAATTTGTGGGGAAAATCGCAGTGATTCTCAGTTTCAGGAGTGCGCACTGACGTAACCTACGTTTCAAAATCTTCGTAATTGGAAGCGAAAATCGCTCATATACTTTGTAATGGTAGCGGTGATAATAATCGTGTGTTGAAACCTCAGTTTTCTGTAGGTTTTGCAGGCAAAAATCTGAAAAAGCAGCTGCAAAAAAAGAAAAAAATTGCATAAGTTAACAAAAGGTTTGCCCTATCTACAGGCTATTAGGGCTCCTCCGAAAGTCTCACACAAAAATTTTGAAAATTAGCGAAAATTGGACATGGCAAAAACGAGTGGTTGTGATTTCCAGCAGATATCTCGTCACTCTCGCAACGAAACACAACGGCGCCTTAGCGGCTTGAAAGAGGAAGAAATTCTGCATTGGATACATTTTGAAGCGTTGGTTTGTCTTTATTCTAGCGTGTTTCCGATGGATTAAAAAAGCCGACAAAACTTTCGGACCGATCTAATATAAAGTAATAAGCCATTACTCACAGGGGGTCTCTCCTGAGGGCAGCTCTGTAGCCGTCTCTTCCACAAAATTGTCTCCGAATTTTCGTCCCTTCCCTTATCTTAATAACCTCACTCTTCTATTTAACATACTGTTTATTATCACTTATAAAAATTCAAAGCGTAACCTAGCTTGTACATGGCTTTTAAACTTCAAAACCTTAAAACTGTGCGTTAACCGATTGAGCTGAAATTGCACTGAATGTTTTAGTGGAAAAAATCTAGGATTTTTTGAACCAATTTTCTGGGTTCTTCTATCGATTTATTGATTTGTCTACTTAGGTCTAAGGAAATGAGAGCTTATCTTGTTCTAAAAGCATTTTCTAATCTTGTTAGCGTTGTGGTGAATTTCAATTCATTTTCAAGGTTCACTGGATGCAGTGCTCTTTTATGACGTAGAAGGTTAGTGTTTGCTGTTCCGCAGCAACTGCGCGTCAGGAGATTTGCTGCGCACGCCCCGCTCAGATCTCGTGCCCCATAGAACTCTCCGATCCAAACTAGCATGACAGGGACAGATACATGACTATTTGGTATCATTGCAAAAGGAAGCTGGCTCGTTGCAAAAGAAGTGCTAGATCATATGCACGACGTAAATAATTGCCTCGCAATGCCTTGAACACCAGCATAAAAGAGCGGTTGTTGGAGGGAGTAGGCATTTACTTCTGAACAAAATTCCGCGACTTTGTGTATTTCCAGCAAGTAGATAGGGTATGTTTTGACCAAAATCTCTTCCAAAAGTTTGTAAAAGTACGTCAGAGAGAGGTGCGCGCTCACTACCGCTTGCGATAAGCTTATTGCTCTTCGGGATCTAGCGCCCCCAGCCGCCCTGGTATGCAAAGCTATGCCCTACCGAATGTATTTTACTCAAGAAAAGTAGGAATGGCCATGCTTAGCTTCAATTGTTCTGTATTATTGGAGTTGCATCGGGCATCGCTTCGCGTAAATTCGCGCCGATCGTACCTCCTGACTGTCCTTTGGGGGAAGGGGAGGGGATTGGTTTTTCAGAAGTTGAAGCTAGCGGTTCAGTTGGTACATGGGGTTAGGTGGGCATCTTGACACATTCAGACATAACAAGCAGGATCGAGCAACAGGTGTGGCACACATCCGTCGGATACGATCCCCCCCCCCCCCCCTGAGTTCTGTCTCGATACCCCCCATTTTCGT